CTGTGGAACTTGGCAGCAGATTAACCACTGAGATATAAAACACATGACAAGCACGTAGTGACATCAAAAGGAGTGCAATGTAATGGTGTTCAGATGTCTCCCCTCAAGCCCACACAAAAGCTGCTCTGAGGGCTGCTGCAGCTCAGAACTCTCAATGATTCCCTTTTGATAAGCCTGTTGCTATCAAATCCAAGGAGTCTTATGAGCAGCACCTCCTGACTTTGTTCCTCTGCTAACTGAAGAGCATGAAGGCTTCTTCTGTTGCCTGAAAGACGTGTGAAGGTTCAGGTTTTAGACCTCAAATCCTGTTTTTACTCCAGAAGTTGATTGCACAAGCGGACAGTGAATGAGTGTCTCCGTTTCCCTTGCGGTCAGAGAAGATCCTATTCATACTGAGTTTACAAGCAAACACTTCCTTTGGTAAGCTTCCCATGCAATTCAATTCATGTGCGTGCTTTCAGGCTCTGTCTTTGGGTCTGGACTAACATCAGAACAAGCAAGAGAGGCAGGCTCTCTTCTCAGCCCACCACAGCCTTTTCTGCAGTGCTTTGAAATGATGAAACACACTGTGTTTTCTGCACACTGCTGCAGTCCTCTCAAGTCACTGCGATTATTCATGCATCAAGAGGCTAAGCACATACATGGGTATCTACTGGATGATGTATACCCATTCCAGAGTTTTACTTGCTTAACAATCAATCTAATGTTTTTGCTCTTTACATTTACTGGCTGGGAGCCTAGAATCTGCTGGCACCTACACACAGGATTCTCCTCTGAGCATTCTGTGACCACGTCAGGTGTTTGAAATATTATGTATTAACAATAAGTACTTTATGACCAGCAAATAAATTATTATTTATGGAAGACCTGGAATTTGCTGTCAGTACTCGTCTGTACCTGTAGTGAGGAGCCATCAGCTTAAGGCTTTGGCTGTAGTAACAGAAAGGAAGACCTGTCCTTGGGACATTCTTACATTTTCCATTCCAGAAAGCCCTTTTCTAAGTGCATCTTCTTCACTGTACAATAAAGCACTATCCATTAGGCAAATGTTTAGTTAATGGACACAGCGGGATCCATACATGAAGATTTTTAGGGAAGGTGAAGATTAAGATTCACTTGAAATGACAGTGAAATTTAATAAAGTTGCACAGTGAATTCTAAGCTAGTTCTGGCCACAATACTAGAGCTATTCTTGAGAAAAATGTCATGAGGTACTTGTGACCACAGGTAGGTAAGACCTTTGTCATCAGCCACTCATGAGGAAACATGAGTATCCAAGAGGACATTGTCTAAAATAAGGCAGTGTGTTGGCCTTGGCTGTTGAGTCATCAGTATCACTTCCTGCAGCCCCTGCTTTTGCTCCGGGTATTTCTCAAGGGAGCACTGACTTAGTCTTTTTGATTCGTTTAGAATGAATAAGATCAGGGCTTCAGAGCAGTCATGATGAATATGTCCTTGATTCAGAGAAATGCACACTCCTTTTAGCACAAGTGTGCTAAATCTTCCATGAGATGCCTGCCTGATTAGTTTTTATCTTTGTCATGGCTTCACTGATTTGAAAACTTCAGACTCTCTAGTTGTAAAATGGAGAATTCACAGGAAGAATCTGTTCAAGTGAGAGAACAAGCTTAAGTGAGCAAGCGTTAATGGCTTGTGCCTCAGGGTATCACTGAAAGCTGTTGTATGTGGATCTCTCTTGCCTTTAATTCACTGTTTGCCTAGACATTTCTTTAAACCCTCAAAATCCTGTGTGGAACTTCTCTAGCAGAGACAGATTCTCACCAGTTTTCAGTGACAGATCCTTCTTAGCTAGACTAAGGTTTGCTGCATTTGTAAAGCACACCTTATGGAAAAAGAAAGAAAAAACAACCACCTGACCTCTGAATTTCTTTTTAAAAATATCATTGCAAAATTTCTGACGTCAGACAATGAGACACAAATTACCCTGTGAACTGTTAACATATGCCTGTTTACATATGATATCTTATAGCCAAAGCAGATTAAGATTTGAAGGTTTAACTGCTGTTGAGTTTCCACTTCTGTGAATCATACAGATCATACAGCTTATTCATCACGGGAACTTATTTTTATTCTTTAACTCTTTCAAGCTACTTCTTCCCAGAGCAGAGTTTAGGGGGAATGTGGGACACGTGGGAACAGAGAGATCACAACTGTACAAGAAACCCTGAACTTTGCAAATGAAAGAGCAAAGAGCTGCCATAAACTGCAGCCACCCCAGTGAATCAGTAGTGGTTTGTATCTTGCACCAGGTGAGCTGACAGCCACAGAAGCCGTCCCCAGTTGCCACAGTTAGTCTGTCCTTCCACCTAGTTAAAAGCCAGCTGCAATGCATGCTGATGGCTAACCCTGGAATCTTTCAATTTAAGGAGGAAAATTACTTGTAAGAACCAACAGAAGAGAAGCGGCCATGACAAAATCAACAGGATGGCTCAAGTTCCAGGTTCAAAGAAAAAAAAAATACCATTAATCATACTAGGATTCCTTAGATGCTATGTTATAGTTTAAATTCAGAAATGCCAAACATTTTGGTGACAATTGATTTCAGTAAACACAGGCAGTTTATTCTAGCACTTGAATGTGGTGCATCACTAATTCTAATGGGACTCAAGTACTATCACCAGCAATCTGACACAAGTGAAAGAGTATCTGTCTTTTTCTGGATAACATGACTATATTTTAAAAGAGGCAGCTCTGCTGATAAAAGAAAGAAACCTACGTCTATTTAAATACACATGCGTATTCACCTCAGATGTGATTGTTATTAAAGCTAGGCAGGCCAGTGCTGCCAAAAATCAGTCCATTTCTTTCAGGTGAAACCAAGAAGGATTTCAGAATTCAGGCTGCACTTCACTTGCTGTTCAGATTCTCTGATTCACTAACACTGCCTGGCTCAGGCTACCAAAGGAGAGAAGGAAGATGTTGTAGTTTGAAGCAGGAATATGAACATCCAAAAATACTTTTCCTCTTGGAGTTGCCGTAAGTGACTGTTTGTTCTTTTCATTTAAAATGTTGCTTCAGATTTGTTTGTTTTTTTTCTCCCAGCTGCATCATCTTAAGCAGGCAGTCCACCTTCTTACCTGTGGATTAGCTAACAGAGGCTGAGTGCAGCACTGTGATGGGTCAAGCCTCTTTTTCACGAAGGACAACAAGGTGTAACCAAGACAGCAATCTCCCTCACAGCATTACTCACTGGAACAGAGGGCAACAAACCATACCAGGAACTGCTGCAATCCAAGGCTATACTGGTACAAATGCCACAGGTAGCAAATCAAACCTGCTGCCACCAGTTTGTTGGTAGGACTCTGGGTAAATTATACCCAGAGTAATTTATATAAATGGTAAATTTATAATTTACCATTTATAATGTTATGTGTTACTGGAAAACACACTCAAGCAACCCAGACACCTACACAAACTAAATTTGAGGAGCAACACTTGTGGCCATGGAAAATGTATGTACATCTTTGCATCTGAAGACCTGGGAGGCTGGTTATCACTAGGGATTGAATTAGATCCAAGAGGACAATCTTAATGCACCTCTGCCAGAAACTGCAGAGCTTGTTTAACCAATGCAAGTTTCTGTTTCTAAATTTTCTGCTTAGAAATGGTTAGAGAATAAATTTAACCACAAACTTAAAGATGAAACAAAAAGGACATTCCCTCCCCCTCCCTCTCCCTGTTTTTATTTTTTTTTTAAATGCTATTGTTAACATCCTCCCCCTGTTGTATTTAAGTGAAAAATGGTGACCCACCCTAAAAACTATAGTTTTGAGCCCTGAGGTATCTTAAAAGGGACCTGATTTTACACATAAAAATACAAACAAGTACATACTGCTCAACCACCACACAGTCCTGTTCAGCTATTTCAGCTGGGCTTCCGTGGCAGAAGCACCCACACTCACTTGGGAAAGGATGGACCTCTGGGGTTAGACCACATAATGAAAATCAGCTAGCCAATTCCCATGAAGTGTTTTGAACACAAAAGCCCACTGCAAGTAATAATGGTTCAGTTCTTTTTTTCAGCTATAAAATCAGCTTGCAGATTAATATTCTTCAATTACAAAATAACAATTTTCAGCTTGAAGTGGTTTGTGCTCTTAAGTGCAATTGGGGTTAATAATGGTCTATGAAAGGAGTGCTGTTAGCAAACAGTAACCCAGAGTGAAAACCTTAGCATATGGGTACCTCAGCTACATTCTACATTAAATGTCAGATTGTAAATTCAGAAAAATTACATAGGAAAATACCATCTAGCCCACTAAGCATCCCAAAGCTCAAAGAAACCTGTGTTTTGTGCTTACAAATGCCAAGAGATAATTGTCATCTGCCTGCCAAGGCAGCTCCTTTACCTATGGCAATTTCTAACTCATGTATATATATGCCTTATCTGCTTGATGTGTTCAGATCAATTTAGGCAATAAACAGTGTCACAAAGTTTAAGTTCTTTTCTGGATCTGTGCCCCAAAGCATAGCTATCTGAAGCTTATATAAAAAGATTAACTGTTTTTCAACCCAAGGCATATGGTTACAATATATTTGTACTATCTAAAATTTTGTTATTGGAATACCTCTGTAAAAAATTGTAGTCTTCCAGCCTAAAACATTAAGGTAAAGCCTTCTGGGACTCCCAGATGAAAAAAGCCTGAATTAAATGCTTCAGAATTTCAAAAGAAAAGCCTAAGTCAGGGCAGAGAGTTCAAAATTATAGAAAACAAGGACAAATCCTCCAAGTTGAGTGGTTGTTCTCTGTGGCCACAAAATAGGTGTAAGTGTGCAACACTTTCTGGAAATTCATCTCCAAGGTTTTTGTTAAAACATGGGCATGGTCCCAAGCCCTGAAAATCGTGCTCCAACCATTCCCAGTAGTTACAGAGACAGTAACAGAACTATCTGCAATCCAGAGCAAAGCACTCATTATTACATGCTGGCAGGATCTGCATCTCTAATACACTGAAGAAATTAGCACTTTGAAAAGGAAGTTTAAACGCTGCAAAACATGCTTTATTTACCAAATGCAAGCTTTTAGAAATTCAGGAAGGTAGAAAAAAACCAAACAAGTTTAACTGGAATTCCTTATATTCTTGAGTTAAAAAAATGCTTTCAGTTACAGTGGAGACTTTCAACTTTGGCTATAAATGAAACATTTAACAATGATTTACCTATAAATGAAACATTTAACAAATAACAATCAATTATACAATCTATTTAAAATCAGCAACTTAAAATATTACAAGACCTCTAATAACAAATTTTCTTTGTGGCAGTAGCATATCCAGCTCACGTGTCCAGTGTTGACCAGCTTTGTTTTTTCTGACTGTCAATCAGTCTTTTAAATATTTCATCTCGTACAAGATCTGATCCTTTTACATCAACATGGCTACAGCCCATTTTAGGGCATCTGTTAAAAAGAAAAGAGAGACTCCATTAAATTGGAAGAATTGCATTTGTCAGATATAGGCTTTTGCATAACATCTGCTAGCTTTTTTTTTTTTTTTAATCTGGGGGATTCACTCTTTTTCTCAGTTCCTTGTTACCTCTTGTCGTCTTCACCAGCTCTATGTGCAAAAAAATAAATGTATATCAGCTGGTGAGAACCATCATCTGAAGGAGGGAAAGAAGGTGCACAGTGAGAGATGAAACCTTCCACCTGTAGATCACTCTCTTGCTTCAAGCACACAAGCTGCCTTCATCAGCAATGATATCAGCACTGCATGGACACCTTTCTGTGTTGCTTTCTCTCTCTGCAGCCCTCCAAAAACTGCAGGTAGATATTGCTTACCTCACTAAACTGCAGTGGAGAAGCATAATCTTCACTGGCAGATAAGCAGGGAAATTATTTTTCTAGGGAAACAAAAGGGAGTGAATCTTGCCACAACGGACTGGTGAATCAGTGGACTATCTAGTTGGTGTAAAAATCAACCTGACTTTTTATGAGCTGTGAAAGCTCAGAAGGGAGAAATGGGGCCAAATTAACAGCCTCTAGATGATAATCAAGTACAAAATGTCTTACAACTACTTGAAACAGCCAGATAAAGACAGCAGGGTAAAAGATATTCAGGGACCAAAGGTCATTTTCCTTTGGTGGAGGCCCAAACATACACAGATGGTACCTATAGCAAGAAGTAGCACTTTTCCTGAATTATTCCTCTCTTAGAGTAAGTTTTGTCTGAGGTGCTGAACTTATTTATACTCAGTACTCATAACTTTTACTCCAGATTCATCCACAGGTTACTGTGTTTGTCACTGATCAGTCATTTAATTGCTCTGTGCCTCAGTTTTCCCATTTATCACCTTAATACAGCAGTAGTTTGCCAGATTAATGAATAACAAGTGCTCTGAAAGCTTCCCACATTTCCTGTAAGCATAAAGTATTAGTATGTCCTTCCAGGCAGTGGAAAATAGTGAGCAAACCAGGAGACGTAAGAATTGCCTCAAGGAGTGTGTGACAAGTCTGTCAGCACGGGGCTGTGTGTACGTCAGCTGAGGGCTGGCAGGCAGGCACTGCACTGCCAAGGGCACTGAAGGCATCCTGTGGATTCACACTGGGAAGTACTTGTGAGGAAAGAGCCACTCTGTGTCTGCAGGGTGAGCAACAGCTCCGATTCCAGCGTCAGGGTAGTGAGGATCCTGCCCTGCTCTGCCAGGGCACCTGCTCCCACTGGAGTATCCCTGGCAGCAGCATGACCCAGCAGCCACGCCAGGAGACTGGGATACTGAAACAGGGCACTTGTTGCAACAGCTGGCCTGTCTTCCCACCACAGCAGTTTTCAAAATAACTGCATTTTCATGAAAAAAGTTTAAAATTACAGTAGGTTGGTCAGACTGGGCAGAGAAAACCAAGGAGTCCTTCTTAATTTAGTTACAGTGAAGCTGTGGCATTGCTCTGTCTGTACTTTTCTAGCACTGGAATAACTGCTGTAAAAATGGTAAGGCTGCCAGCTAAAAGCTCAATATTAAGAACTGCAGGGTTCAGACTGCACAAATAATTTTGGTTTGGGGATATGGTAGCTGTTAAAGCTGGGTGTTGCACAGCTGATATGATTTTTTAAACTCCAGAGTTTCTCTAGTCTTCCATTTCTTAAAAGGTAAAATAAAATTCAGTCATGTGACCCTATGTGTTTTCAGCAGAGCTGAAACTTTTGATCCACTACAACAATTTCTCCTAAATTGACATTGTTCTGATAGATTTAACAACACAAGAGAAATATTTAGCTACAAATATCCTAAATTCAGTATAAGAAAATGTATTCTTGTCATTGGGCTGTTGAGCACATGGTTTTTAGCCTCTCCCTATCCTCCAGAACATTCACTTTACTCCAACCTGAGAGCTATTACTCAATTCCTGTTCATTTTTCCAGCCAAGTTTCTGTCCAATGTTGCTAGTTTTGTTGTTATTCCCAGTATATTGCACCCATTCCAGATTTTTCCCTAGATTTTGTAACACAAGAAAGGTACTTCCATCTAGTTCTTTAAGCTGTCTTGACACTGAGATAGTGGCTGGGTATCCCAGCTTGGTTGGATGCTTGGTTTTATAGCAGTGCTTTCCTGTAGCAGGGAAGAAACATGGAATAAAAGCTCCAGCTCCACCTTTGTAACCCTCATGGACGACTGTGTACATCCTAACAGAAATGCCAGAGCAATAGATGGAGGAAATAAGCTGCCTGTGGCATTATCTTCAGGGAAATCAGATTGCTGGTCCCTGACAGATTTTCCTAAGCAAACTGCACTTTGATTAAGAAGTCTACAACTGGTACATGTCCATGAAATCATCAGCCCCAGAGCAGGAGGGTCTAGCATAAATAGTGTAAAAACAAAGGATGAGATGATATATCCTCTCAACTTCTTCCAAAAAGCATTAGTGTTCAAGCCTCTGCTTTTTCTACTTTTTTTTTTTCCTTAAAATCATTATCATTTTCAAATTTATTGTGGAGAATTTGAGGTTTAAAAATTCATCTGCTACATCTTGTCATTCAAAAAATATTTCCCATGTGGAAAAGTGACACACTATTTTGGGGATATAAGGAAAGAATTATTTAACTGCATCATGGTAGGAACTGCACTGCACTATCTGATCTCATTCTTAAATTCTGTTCACCCTAAAATGTTGTGGTTTAGTATTTCTCACTTTAACACTCAGTTATTTTAATATTTCTGAGCTGTATTGGAATATAACTGCAAAAGAAGGTGCATGGAGAAAATTTTTTTTCATTTACTTCAAGGCTTGCTACATAAGCAGTGGGAACAAATCAGCAACTAAATTTTAGGAAACTGAGGTCTCTCAGTTGGTCATGGCTATAGAAATCTCTTTACTTATGTTGTGCAGCTACAAGTAGCTGTAACTTGCAGCTGTAGCTGTAGTTCCTGAATATTTCCTTACATATTGTTTTCATTAAAAAGAAAAGCACCTTCACATGTCTAGTGCTAATGAGGAGGCTGTGACTTGGGCAGGTGCTGAAGCTTTACTTCCTGCAGCCTTTCCAATCCAAATACATTTCCTAGAGCAAGTGGAGTAGAATTCCACTTACACAGCAAAGCAAATAGCTTTTCCACACATTCTTTTTAGCTTACCGGACTTTCTTCTTTTTCTGCTTTTGAGTCTGGATCATTTCTAGGATGGCATCTTCTTCATAAATATGTCCACAGACTTTGTTCCGCACTGGCCTCTTCATTGTCACCTGTAATCAGTAAGGATTGATTTAAAGGAACTGATAATGCCCATGAAAATGCTTCTTCTGAGATTTTAAGTGAAACAGCAGGAAGTGTGTTTGCCACTCATACATGGCATTCCAGTCAAATTAGGGGATGAGATCCTGCTTGGTAAACTACATTCCTACTTACATGGGTTTTATTCCCAAGCAGTATTGCTCTTTTCTGAAAATGCTTAAAATTTATACTATTTTGTTGTTAAATATAATGTTGTTTAACAGGTACTGCAGATTTGTAATAAACAAACCAGTGAAGAATATGAAATAACTATTTCCCTGTCAATTACTGTAGCAGTGATACATACCTGTGTAATGGGACAAATAAAGTTCATCTGACTTCGAGTCACGGCTATATCTTCATCAATTTGTTCAATGGTGTCAGTACCATGATCTGATTTATGAGAAAGTAGAATGGGAAAAAGAGAAAAAAATTGTTCCTTATTTAATGTAGACTGTCAATACTTAAAATAAGCTAATAAAAACCAACATTTGCCAAGCACTATCTCACAGTGATTTCTAAAATGCCACAGTATGTTTCTGCACCACTCCATGAACAAGACACTGCAAAAAATACTGTACAAGAATGTATTTTAGAAAATGTGGATTTTTATATTATAACCACTTTGTGTGTGTGTATGTGTGTGTGTGTGGCTATTTACAGGCAACACCAGAAAGAAAGGTTGGGAAGGAGAGCAGGCTGGCCTGAAGATATGCAAAACCTTTGGTATTCACTATTCAAGTTCACCAAAACCAAGTTACACATAGATGAGTGCCCAGAAACTAACAAAAGATGAGGTGGAACAGATCTGGCAGTCCTACCCTCAATATCAGTTTGTGTTTGAGTGTCATAAATGGGCTTGCTGTATAGCCTGTACATACTGTACACACTTTAAAAGGAATTTGTACTGTTTATCATAGTGCATAATTTATAAAGTGATCCTGTTGTATTTTGATAAGGCTATAATTAGTGAAAAATAAAAGCCAGAAAGTGTCACGGACAACAGAAATGTTACTGAAGTAATTTTAAAGAGGAGGGACAGAACGAAATTTCTGACAATTCCCAGAAAACACCCAGTGGCCCAATGCCAGGGAATGAAGGGCAGACAAATGAGAATAAATCCATCTAGAGCTGGAGGAGCTGCAGGTCCCCACCTTTACCAGAATAAGAAAGTAAGGTATAAGCATCTCTGTGCACTCAGGGGCATACGAACTAATGTTCCATGCAGAAGTTAGTTAGCCAAAGTCAAAAGCTGAGACACGGGAGCAGTTAAAGAAGAGACAAATATGTGTATATTTATATATATTTAGGGAGAGAGAGAGAGCTAAGTATAGACTTCATGAATTGCATATATGTTGTTTTATCTTCTAGCTCTCGTCTGTTATTGCAAATCTAGGCTTTTAGTTGAATGCATTTGTTTATCTTTGAATCTTATCTGGTAATAACAGCAAACTTAACACCTGCCATAGCTTTCCATTCCTTTGGGGTACTTCTGCAATGCCTTTGCAGAGGCAGAGAAGGGCCTTAGGGTACAGTCCTCAAGGTGTCCCAAGCAAAGAGAACATTTTTCTTTCTAGCTGCATGAGCTGCACTCCAAGGGAGGAGTGAGAAGCACAAGAGAGTTTAGAATTACTTCGTGATTTCCCTTCTACAGTGTCTCAGCTGGAGTTCCCTGTGCTGCTGTTGCACACTATCAGCCAATCTTTGCCTCCCTGGTATTCACTCTTCCACATCTATTAAGGACCAGTGTTTCCTAACTTCTGGTCAGTCCTGCGTGCCTGTGTGATACCATCACCTTCCGGATGATACCAGCAGACATCACCATGGAGCAACCAAAACCTCTCACACCCAGCCTAGGCTGAGCTCGCTGCCCTGTGAGCCAGCACAGCTCTGGCTGGGGGATTCTTGGCATTGATGTTGCAGCCATTGCTCCACCACAGCACCTTTTGGTATGCCAGGCCTATTTCCAGACCTATTTCTCCCTAACAGAGCTTGCCTTCCTTTCCATTTCAATATTCCAAGCATTTAGGAATGTTTCTGACCCAGGTGCTCCAACCCCAGGTACTGGGGTTGGAACTAGATGACCTTTCAGGTCCATTCCAACCCAAACTATCTTATGATTCTACTCCTGTGAATACCATGGGAATACTCAGGGATTCATCAAGGATATTTCTGTGTCCACTACTAAGGTCTCATCCAATAAAGAGGATGTGGATTCTGGGGGAAAAGGAGCCCAAATGTCCAATGTCAATCATAATTTCAAGGCTTTAATCTCCAAGAATATTAAAATACCTTCACCAGATACTGAACACCTAACAAAGGCAAACACTTGCAAATCAGAAGAAAAAAGCAGGCACAATTTAACTATAAATACTAAAACTGCTATGGTATGGACACCAGAAATGCACTTGTGTTAGTCACCAATTTTCAGAAAAAAACTCTGTGGCATATTTATTATTCTTAAATTGCTCATATATATGGTTTATTCTACCATAAGTACATAGTATTTGAAGAAAGTACAACTTTTGCAGGGAAAAAGGGGGTTTTATAAATGAAGCTTTTGGAATACCAAGCTATGGGTGAAATCCCACTAAAACAGCAAGGCTAAGCAATATTGGAGTTATTGGCAGGTGGCAGCTTTGGCATGGACTGTTTTACTTCAATATCATAATGATTTTTTTTTTTCTACAAGGAATGCCAACAAAGAACAAGAGATTCAGACTGTCCTTAAATTCATGTATCTGCAAATTTTGACATACTGCAGCTCTAATCTTTCCTGTGGAAAATATCACATTTTTCTATGTACTTTGTTTCAACCCATGAATTTGGCAGTTCCAATGTACCAGGGCATCACATCAGTCAGTGGCATTACAAAGCATCAGTAATAGCAAGATGTAGGACAGGGAATTGTTTACAAACCATGATTTAAAAAAAAAAAAATCAATAAGTAGGTACCAAGGAAGGTGGGTGAATTTTTAAAATATGGGACTTGTGCCTGTGACTTTACTTCTAAAACCCAACACTATAAGATAGGCATGCAAGTGGCTTTTTCTGGAAGAACATTCACCTGTGGAGCACCTCCTGACTTTGCTGAAGAGTCACCACTTCCCTCATCACTTCTGTGTATGCTCACTTAGGTACACACACAAGAATTTAGGAGACTATAGTGAAGCATCCAAGTTCAAAGGTAGGAGCTCAAGTTGGGGTACTGGTGCTTGAGCCTCCCCTGAAGGCCTCAGGTCTCTCAATTATGTGAGCTAAATCCCAGGCTCGGGTAACTTCTTCCCATACTGGTTTTGGAGGTGATTCAGATGCCCTTTGTTTAATGGTTGAAATTTCACTACAACCTAATCCTTGTAGGTAGGGTATATTAATCTTGGATTCAAACTGTCCTCTTGCTGCAATCTTATCTCAAACACTTCAGGTTACACTTCATTTGCAAAGATTTTGTATACAGCCTATCAGAGTGGGGCCCTGGCTTCAAGAGGTGATCACAGTCCAAATGAATCATTATTTATAGTATTTCCTTTTCATAAGCAGCTAATATTTTTAAAAACAAATATGCAAGACTGGGATGATGCAAGTAATACCTCAAGCATGTCAATAGCAAATTATCATAAATCAGATAAACCACCCACAGATTTTTTGTTATTGCTTGATGTTCTACATTACAGGAGAAGAAAGGAAAATCACTTTTTTCAGTGACAGTAAATTTTGCAGACATTACACAAGACACACACACATCCTAAGCTGGTGAGAAAGATGCTCTAAACTGTAGATCTATATCTGTAGCCTCATATTGGAAGATGTTTTCATTAAGGTCAAAGGGATTTTTTTTTTTTTACCAAATGAAATGTATGAAAATTTCAAGGATCTAACTTGCAAGTCTGACTATTCTACAGAAAGAAATAAAAATACTGGATCATACATATTTCAGCTAAGTCAGGTTATATTTTTATAAAATCAAGTTTTCCTTGCAAATTAAAGCCAGACGCAGAAAACACTAAGTTATTGTTCCCAAAATTCACATGTTGCCTTAAGTAACAGAAGTGCATACATCTATTTTGGTAGTCTGAGAGATCACATATTAAGTGCCTTAACAGTTTCTAGTTTTCCATTCCAGCCAACTGAAATATGTTATGAGCATTAGTAACACATTTTCTATCTCGCTATCTCAGCAATGATGTTTACAGCTGTTGTAATAAAACTGCATTCTTATGAAGGTATATATTTTTGGTAACATATCATAATGAATTTTGCAACTGCCAACTTTTTTTTACTTATTCAATTTTAATTAAAAGCTGGTATTAATTTATATCTCTATCACTTTCATCTCTTGATAATATTGTGACTAACATGCTTTTACTTACTCTGCTGAGAGATACTCAGAACTTTTAAGCCAACTTTTAAAAAGAGGAAAACCACAGTGCAGAGACATTAACTGCTGGATTGTGAATTATACTAAGCATAGATAATATACATGTTAAAAAAACAGGAGAGGAAAAATCCTCTCCACTGTCATTGTTATTTCTATGACCAAGAGACTGCTGTCTGCTCACTGCTCCCAGTGTCAGCAATGCCCTCTCCCCAATTTCTGTTTCTCTAGCCTGGTTCTCAGTGAGCACATGTTGCAATGTAAACTCAATTGATTTCTTTCCTTTTGTGCTGGGCTGTTCTGCCTTCTCACCTGCCACAGTCAGACACTAATCCTGAGAATCAAAGGGTAACGTTAAGCATGTGGGATTGAGCCTTTGTAAGCTTGAGCCACCAGACAGACAAGGTCTTGGCTCCCAAGAGGGTCTGTCTATTGTACTGCTGACTCCATAGAAATAACAGCAACTCATCCAGGCTGGGAAAAATCCTATCTCTGAGAGCTCCAAGAAAAACATGAATGTTATGAGGACAAGTCAGATGCCAAGTGTTCCTGCCAGCAGGGCACAGAAAATAATGAAAGGTGGGGGAGGTGAAGGACTTTGCCACATCCAAGAGTTTTGCTCTAGGAGTCAGAAGGCATCTGGGGTGAGGAAAGGCCAGGGCCAAGTCTAAAGGAAGGACCTGACAGTGCTGAGAACACCAGGTAATGCTTGGAAGTGGGTCAGCATGCCCATCACTGCTCTGAATTTGAGTTAGCCTTCAGCCCAGAGAAGTCCAAAATAACTGTCCGTGTCCTTCCCTAGGGATGGATCTGCAGTAAATGCTGTAGGAGTGAAAGAAGAGGGGAAGCAGAGAGTAATACCTTCCTGGCAAATTCTCCCAGTCTCTAGCAATTTGTGGCCAAGGACTTCCTGAGTCAGAGGTAGTATCTTCATCCTTAATAAGCCTGGGAGTTTTCCTTCAATGAATTTGTCTAAACTTGGAGAGGGGAATTTTGTCCTGGACCTTTCAGCTTGATT